AGAGAATGTAACAGACTGAGCCCCCAAGTTTCAACCTCCCTAAAAGTTTTCATTGACACTCACACGTACCTGAGCATATGTATTGTAACTGCATTGGAGTCCACGTATTTGAACTTGAACGGCTAAATTAGACCTGCTAAATTTAGGTTTAGGTACTTAATTGTATGGTCTGCGTTGTTTGAGATACTGAATAGCTAGCACACCTTTTAAGTACAGACAAACTGCCTTTTTCATGCCAGGGAAGACATGCAAAATCAAAGTAAATAGAACAAAATCTCGTCTGGGTGCAGGCAAGGCGGCTGTATGCACGTGTATGGGTAGGAATTGCATAACTGGTGGCTTTTTCCTTCGGGCTACGGCGGGTTCCTCGTAGCGCTCTGACTCTTTTCCCATCTGAGCAGAGGAGCTGTGATGTAATGCTCTATACAGATGATTTCAAGCATATAGAAATAGCATTCCTTTTAATGTGCAGCTCGGTGCTCTGCTCTCAGTAAACCAGTTCGCAAATTCTGTGGAGGATTTCCCCTCCTCCCCACACTTTGTTTTTTTTAATACATGCTGCTATCCCACTGTGTGCAACAGAAAGAAGTTTGCTTGGATTTCCACATCCTTGATTTTAAGGAGTATTTTTAGCATACTGGTATCTGTCTTTTAAAGTGGAGTATTTTAAACTATATTGCCGCTTCCTCGGCAGCTGGGCACGCTGGGCTGGCCCCAGCTCTGGAATGAGCCCTGACCTGTGGGTAGTCTGGTTTTGCAGCCCAAGGGAGAGTGGTGGAGGGAAGGGAGGTTATCCCTAGTGAGTGGAAACGGATGATACTCTCTGTCAGTTAAAGCAACTGGCATGTAAATCCTTACCTCTCAAAGCCAATTTGGGTACGTTTGGGGAGCTGAATCACGCCTGACTCTCCTCTTTATCTGTACACAACCAAAGCGAGGTCTGGCCAGTTGTTTGCATTGGCAAAAACTAAAGTCCTTTTCCTTTTCCCAAAAAAACCTGTCAGCATTCTCTGTAAATCACACACAATGCTGTGGACCATAGTAGAGGCTGTAATTTGCATGTATGCTGGGGCGAGAGTGTGGTTTTCCTTACACCGGGGACCTAGGCTTTGTGAGAAGTTGTGCCACATGGCTTCGGCTGTGTTATGCACATAAAGAGACATCGTTTTCTCGAGCCATTATTCATCTGTTCCTGAGGAGCAGTTGTCTTCCCTGACACATCATGGTCATTCAGTCAAACACAAATAGGGACAGGGAAATAATCGGTGCTGTGGATGAGGCCAGAGTAGATGAGCTCATTGTCCCATCTCTCATCTTCATGTGCTGGAGCATCCGTTTCCTCCGATGCCTGCAGTCCCCCCCTTCCCATGATAGACTGAGCCGGGGATTTCCTATTCATCTTTCAGATCCGCACAAGCGCTGCCTCGTGCACGTGGTACCAGTGATGCTTTGATCCGTGGCACCTCTGTCACGGAGCCCATGGCGCTGCTCGTCTGATACTGGCCGAACACAATGTTTCTCTGAAACACTGCTAATTCAGACAAAGCGGTTTTGTAATCTGCATGGGCATCAGGAGGAGGCCTTTCTATTTATTTGTCATCGCTGACAGAAAACAAATAAAATGCTCAGTATGGGAATTTAGCATGATGCATTCCCCGCTTTACTGAGCGGGGTAACCCCCCACCCCCTCCCTCACGTGCAACGTCCTCGTGTCAGAAAAATAGCATGTGTCAGGTTTGATTTATATTATTCTTCTCCCATACTATCTTCTCTTGGTTCAAATTTCATATTCCACAGCACATGCCCTGAGTTGCAGCATCTTTATCAGAGTATTTTGTTGCTGCCAGAGATGACTGGTCACATAATATTGCCTCTGGATACTCCGGGGGCTTGTGCTTGGGGATGTTGAGGGAAGGGGAGAGGAAGAAGATAAGGTCAATAATCCAATTTGTCTGAGGTAATGAAAAGGAACCCCAGTGATTTCTCACCTCTTCAGGCTTTCTGCTAGTGGTGGAATTAAAATTTCCTTGCTCCTCGTTTTTGGTAAAGCAAAAACCATTTGCTAGAATAGCCATGCTGCAGTCTGCAAGGTCCACAGGTTGGTTGGTCTCCCTTGCGCTGTGGATTGTTTTTTTTTTTTTTATTTTTTTTTTTTTTTTTCCCCCTCTCCACCGTAACATCCAGTCCTTTATCTGGTCCACTAGATTTTGAAACACAGGGGAGGGTCGGTATCATCCTCATGGTTTGAAGAACAGCCAGAGGTTGAATTGTTTCTCTGTGCGGATGCAGTGGGACAGTGGCAGAGCAAAGCTGAGTCCCCAGGTACAGAGCACGATGCAGCAGACAGTGCGGGTAACAGTCTTGCCCCACTCTCTCATCAGGCTGCTTATAGGTTATTTGTAGGATTTTTTTTTTGGGTTCTAACTGCCGGATGGTGTCAGATCTTTGCTTGTACTCCTCTTGCATTTAGTATTGTAGTCAGTGAAATGAGATATGTTATGTGCCCATGAGGGAAATCTTCAAGTCCTGCTTTAGCTCCATAATGTTACAGCATATGAACACATGCAACACTGGAACCCTGAACACTGTTTAAATTTTTTTTTATGTGGAGTTCAAATTTTTGGGATGCAATAAATGAGGAAAAACCCAGTTGTGCTGTTCAGTATAAAAGACTTCTATGCCTAAAGCAGCTAGCCAGGAACAACTTTAAACAAATGGTCATATTAACACCTTGCAATTGACTCTGTTGGACTGCCTGTCTTATTTTCCTACTAGAAAGGTTTTATTTGGTTTACTTTGTAATTTGTAACCTAGTGTAGGCGTCCTGCCTGTGCTGGTTTAAGTTGGGACTGAGTTAATTTTCTTCACAGTGGCTTAGCACAATCGTTCTTGCAATATGAATCGATTTGGCACTGAATCAAAAATTGCAGGGCCAAATTTCTAGAAGTGATGTCTTATACATAAGTTCTTAAATCTAACTTTTCCAAAAGTCTCGTTTTCCACTTAAGCATAAGGAAGGGGAGCTTAGATTTTTGACATCACTCTGCATAAGGATGTATTTTACTTGCAGTACTTGGAGCTAAACTCTTCTGATATTTTTACCAGTTCACTTAAAGGATTTTTCTTAATTGGAAATCACCAAGTATTTCCCAGGAATTTTTCATGAGAGGTTTGTCACTACTGTTTTATAAGAAATTGTTCTGTCTGGAAGTAGGTTTTTCCCAACAAAAACCCTAGTGAAATCAGTGATTTCAAGTGATGTGCAGCTGACTAAACAAATCAGATACTACAGTAAGTGGGTAGGTAGACTAGATAGTCCCCAGAATAACAAATACAGAAATGGGGCAAAGTCTGCTGCTTTGTATCTCTCTTGGGTAAAGGCAGGTTGCAACTCACTGCCTGTCAGTGTGTTGGTGTTGCAGCTAATATTTCATCTGCGGTCCTGTGACAGAGCGGAATCAGGGCAGTTGCAGCATCTGATGAATCAGGAGAAATGTTTCATTTTAACTGAATATTAATGAAAAGACAGAAGAGGGTGAAAAATCAATATTAGTATGAGCAAATATTTTCTGATGGTAGCATGGGCACAGTAAATTTGTATTAGGAGGTTAAAAAACCCAAACTATTTGAGAAGTACCTAAGCTATCCTTTGCATACCAAAACTATGTGCCAAACAAAAAATGCTGAGATCTTAGATATATGTATAGGTAGGTAGATATATCACTGGACCTGGTTCTTATTCATAAAAGGAGTCTATCCTGGCTTTAAACCCAGTATTTTTAAAAAAATTTAAATGTTCACACGCAGGGACTTGAGTACTGCTGGAGAAATAACCAGGCCTCGCTGTTACCGAGAGCCAGCACGTTATTTTGTGAGTCGCTTCGTTTGATTTCAAAGGGACAAAAGTCACCAGCCAAGGCTTACGAAAATCTAAGTCTCCTTGGTTGCCAGGTCTGCAGTCTTTGTCCTCAGCCAAATTTCTGTTTTGATACAGAAAATCAGTGATGTATTTTGCACCGGTATGAGATTCGAAGAAGGATAACTCATACTGAAACTTCTGTGCAGCACTTCTGAGGCGGTAAAGGAGAAATACTGCACAGGGAAGCTTCCAATTAAGCAGAATAATAATAAAAAAAGGCAGCTTTTTGAAATAACATTTGACATACACATGATAAAGTATGAAAGCTATTAGTAGGAAGTTAATGAGTTCATTCGCCTGGTTTCAGGTTGTATCAGCTTGGCAGCCGTAGTAGCTTGTGCTGTGAAGTCTCCAGCCATCTGCCATATATTAAAGACACTGAGGGGAGTGTGTCTTGCCAATAACTCTGACTCTGTGTGGCCACTTCACCTTTCATCTCAGTATTTGTTTACACAACAGCAAGTTAACTTGTGTACTTTAGATACTATTGTTGTTTAAGAGCAGTAATATTTCATTATCGTTTGGCCTGGAGGAGGCATAGTTGCAAGGGATGCATGTTAAACCATGAACTGTGAAGTTTTTCAGCAGTCTTTTACTGTATTTAGAGGTAAATGTGTGAAATCATACCTTGTAATTAATACTTTATTTAACAATAAAGTTATAACCCCCCTGTGTATTTAATTATCAGAGCTGTTCCCTGGCACAAGCCCCTCTCCCTAAGCCTTTAGGAAAGGTAATATGGTGCAGCTCCAGCTTACCTTGCCTTGGCCATTGCTGAAGTTACTTTAGATAATTAAATTCTCTGTGCTGGAGAGCAAGGCTTTTTAGGCATTCTTGGTTTTCTCTGGCTTTAGATCTTAAATATGGAGTTGAAAAGGAACATCTTTTTTTGTTTGGTTAGCTGTTCCTCCCCTTCTCTCCATGGTTGAAGTCTCTCTTCTTTTTTTTTGTTTTTTTTTAATCACTAAGGTTTGAGGGTTTTTTTTCCCTGGTTGAGCTCTAAAACAGACAAAAGGTTTAATACTTAAAGTAGACTAAGAATATTTTGCAGTTGCATTTCAGCACTGGAAACTATGTGACTGCAATGTAAAAACCTTGCTTAGTCAACTTTTCAGTACATTTTCTTCCTATAAGAAGTTCTTATTTCAATAAATCAGAGCGAGTATAGAGTCAAAGGGTGAATACGTAGCAGTAAACGGTGAAAAACACACCATGCTTATAAGTTGTCCTTACCCCCTTGTAGCTGTGTATGCTACCTGCTTCAGGGCTGTAAGTTCTGGTATGTCTGTGCTGCCATCACCCCTGAAGATAGGAAAACATTTTAAATGTAGAGAAGAGTTTATTTAACGAGTTTTTTGTGAGTGGATGTTTAGTTTGAAGTGTGATTAATTTCAGTCTATGAATAAAAACTTACTTTTCACAGAAGTGTGAGGGAAGTGGATAAGGAGGTCAAGGTTGTTATTTTGCTATTAGGAAATAATACTGGAGAATGGCTTACAAACCTACTAGGAAAAGGCAGCAGGAGAAATAATTGGAAAACTTCAAGGCACTGAAATGATAAAGGTGGCTGGTTTGCTAGTATCTGGAGTGGGCATCAGACAGCAGATTTCTTGGAAAACCAGCAAAATCATCTTCTTATTCAGTTTTTACTTTTCTTGGTGCACCCTCCTATTGGATAATCATCTCTCAGATTAGCTGTGCTAAATGTGAATGCTGCTAATCAATAGCGTGAAGGGGTGACTAAAATTAACAGTCATCCCACAAGCCTACAGCTTCAACATGGAGCAGGAATCCAATGATTGGACACAAGTATAACAAACAGATCAAAGCAGTTATTTACCCAGAATTAAGCCAGTAGGAAAAATGAATTCATGCTGGCTTTAAACAGATACAAAGGTTACTTAAGGTAAAAACGTGCTATCGTAGTGGGTTCTGTCTGCTGCAAGAGAGGAGCAGACTGTTGGTGACTTCGTGATGTTTTCATGTCATCTTTGCCGCTGAACTGTGGTTCAGTGACTATTTGAATCCCTGACCAGAGGCTTTCAGCCTCGCTTTAGCTGCCAGTTTATCCAGGAATAATACCTGCTCATATGTGGCTTCCAGAATATCAAAGATAAGTGGGTAAAACATGTTAACTGCATAGTTTTAAATACAGCAGGAGTGAAAGGAAAGACTTCAGGCTTGGTAAGAAACTTGCTACCTTCTTTAATGTTGTCATCCTGAAAGTGAAGCTATCATTCCTGAATACTGAGAAACGTGTCAAAGGGAGGGGTTTTGCCTGTTTTCTCAAACAGCGAAAGCAAAACAGAAAAGATTAAAAAAAACCCCATGTATTTTTCTACTGCAGTCTCTTTACCTCTCTCTGTTATGGACATTTTGAAATGATATAAAAGAAGATAACGGCTAATCAGATTCCTTAAGTATAATGTGGGAGTTTAAAAGGGAAACCACAAAATCTTTATCAATTCCAACGAGCTTGTGTTCAGTGGATTGGAAGATGAGTTTTATGCCCTGATTTTATTTTTTTTTTAATCATTACTTCATAGTGTTCTTGGCAAGACTGTAGAAACGTTAGTGTTTTCAGCGCATCTGCAGTGTTTCAGATGTAATTTCCAGCTCATGCATGTGAGGTGAATTTGCAGAGGTATGGAATATGTATGGCACACCTGCCTCCTGCTGCCCTCCTGGCAGGACCGTAATGCGGGCACTGAAGCCAGAATTGCTGGTGGACATTCCTATGAGGTCTCTTCCTCCCTCTCTTGTTGTCTGAATCAACCGTCAGACATTGGACTTTAAGCTAGACACATGAACTACTTTGATAAAAACAGCATTAATTTTGCACAGCAAGGGAATAATCATCTTACATCAATTGAAAAAGGCTTCGCAGAGATGTGACAGAGCACAGAACGTTTTTGTTTTTCATGAGAACTGCTTCGGGCCAGTGAATTCAACCTCAAAAGTCCCCCCAGGATTTGACCAAGGCTCCGAAATAAGTGATAAGCTGAAAAACATGCATGAGACTGCTTACATCTGAAATCTGATGTTCAAGACCTTGTTGAACTGGGGCCCTGCTCGGTGAAAACATGTCAGCGTCTAGAGCCCAGCTGCAGTCAAGCGCTTGGGCAAGTGGCCAACGCGAGTGTATGCCGGTGCCCTGTTGATTTGCGCCGTACCCGCTGGGACAGAAGTAGATGATTAGAGCTGACTGCCTGCCCAAGAATGCTGCAACAGGCTGAGTGTCCTCAACAAATGTTGACCTAGAGTATGGGTTTTCCTCTAGATAATAATAAAAAAAGGTGTTTGTTATGGAACCAGTCCCCACTGTCCAGGGTAAATATGAAGGATTAACAGAAAAATAAGTTCTGCGCTCGTGTGTGTGTGTGTGAATGGTTGGGGTGAAGGGTGAGGGTAAGGGGTAGAGTTTCTGTTCACTTCTTTTTTCATCAAACAAGTCTTTTAAATTAGTTTTACTTAGAGCACAGATTTGTTTAATTCACAGTCAAATGGTGTAAAATTTTTCTGTTTGCTACTGTGGGCCTGATCCTCACTTGCATCGATTCTCTTCATAACCACTCTAGCAATGCAAAGCAGCCTTGAAAAGGGGATTTCAATTAAAGTATAATGCAAGCAAAAGATCTGGTTTGAAGCAAAGATGTTAACATCTGTCCAAGTCCAATTGCTGAGATCAGTTCTAAGCACTTGTATGGATTGGACCTATACTAAAAGCAAGTGCAAAACCATAGAGAGCGATGCCACAAAACCAAGGTTGTGGAGCAGAGCTCATTTTTATGAAGGATAAAACCTCCATGGTGGAGGAGTTTATGAAAATCAGGCTCTGCTAGTTGCCTCGAGCTGAGGCTGCAGAAGGAAAGAGCCCCAAATCACAATTGGAGGCTTTGCCCCTTGAGCAAAAGAAGTGGCACTGTCACAAAGAGTGGGATAACAGACTCTCTGCATCTTCCAGTGTTTGACAGCTCTCTCCCTTCCATCCCCCTTCCAGGTGAACGCCCTTTCCACTGTAACCAATGTGGAGCTTCTTTTACCCAGAAGGGGAACCTGCTGAGGCACATCAAGTTGCACTCCGGGGAGAAACCGTTCAAATGTCCCTTCTGCAGCTATGCCTGCCGACGGAGGGATGCCCTCACAGGACACCTCAGGACGCACTCTGGTGAGCCCGCCTTGTCTTCTCTTCCCTTCCCTCTTCTTTTTTCCTTTGCCATTACTACTCAAGTGGAGCAGGTTGTGAAAATAACTCTGTGTTCCTGGGTCCCTACCAGCCTCTTCAGTGCAACTCTGAACTTTGGGAAAGCCTTGATGTGAATCAGAAAAGTTGTGGTTCAGCCACACCTCTCCTTTTGTGTAACTGAGCTCCTCTGCTGATGCTATCGCATTCCCTTTGAAAGTCTCCTTGGGTGTATCCAGTCTTCACTGGCAGATTGTTTTGACACTCTCAGGCCCCGAAGTGGCTGTGAAATTCCAAAGATCGAAAAGAATAACTGTATGCTCTTGGAAGCCTGCTTTGCCGTTCATACCCATTTCTTCATCTAATAAATGCCATATGCTGGCAGAGTTCATACTTGTTCGTCTTTCAGAAATCTCCTAATTGCATTTTTGAGTCGGTTACATCTCACTGTGAAGTCCTAATTCACGGCAGCCACAGCGCTCACCCTAGACCAGGAGGCAACAGAGAGATGGGGTTTGTCTTGCTGTGCTGCTTGGTAGTACCATGTCTCTCTCAAGTCTACTTGATGCAGTTTCTCCACTCGTTCTAAAGAAATACCGGTCACGTAAGCGTGTGTTAGTAGACACGTTGGTAGCCCCGATGATTGGGATCAGATGTGTTTCCTAGTCCCTGTGTGCTACACCAAGGGGCTGCATTCTACCCGTTTACTCATTGGTGTAGGACTCTCAAATTCTGAACTTGCTGGCTTTTTTCATCTCCTAGGATGAAAAACTTTGTGTCCAGGCCACTTATAAGAGACTCTGTTTTTCATTGTTGACTGAGCAGAGATAATTGGGCTGGTTACAAGTGACAGCATTACAGATGAACTTTTTTGAGGTGTTAGCAAACGTGTGACTGCTGAAACACAGTGGCTGAAGTGCAGCCGCGGGCAGAAACTCTGCATGTGAAAAATGTAATCGTGGGGCTTCCTGACTCTTTGGACACGTTTCTTTTACAGAGTCAGCCTCACTTCAGTAGAGGTTTCTGTTTTGTGAGCATTAGGTTGGTCTTAGGATAGAGTTGCCTTGACATTTCCAAGAATCAGAAAGGATAAGCTAGTAAGCTTCTCCAGGTAGACTTTGGGGTAGGCAGGAGGCTGTTTGATGCAAACATACTGCTGTCATAAAGCATGGGCTTCCAAGGGACTGCAAGTGTGCTTTGTCCTGCAGTAATAAAGTGCTAAGAGAGAATTGCTTGAGAGCTGTCAGCTGAGAGGATTTGAGCTGAAAGTCAGAAGGGAAAACATCTGTGGAACTGAGAGTTGTAATTTTCACACATCTGACCATAACTGTAGTTTCAACTTGAAATATAGTAAAAAAGAAAACACGATAAAAATATTCACAATTAAAATCAAGGGAGTTGTGATCTAAAATATCTCACATTACAAAACACGAACGTTGCGGTTGAAGATTGTTTTCACAATATGAATATAGATTTTGTTACCTAGATACAACCATTGATAGAGATTGTTCCTTCTTCCTGTGTGAAAAGTACATGACTGATGTTTCTGTAAAGGGGTGGGATTTTCGGAAGGCACCTAAGCTGCTTAGACACACGAGTTCCCTTGGAGCTCCTTCCCTAACTGACTTAGCTGTGCTCAATTTGTAATTATATATTTGGTTTTCAGTGGAGAAAGTGTCACCCCTCCAAGTAGTCAGCTACAACAGCTCTCAGCAGAGGGCCGGCAGAACCAGACATGTGCTCCCACAATACTCTCCAAGATAGTTCTTAGAGTAGCACCTACAGCTGAAGAGTTAAAACCCTGGAATATTGCCCTAAAACGTGGCACTCGCATGATGGTGAAGTGCCAGTCTGAACGTGAGCAAGGAAGTTAAGGTGTCTTTCCATCCCTGTCACATGGGCAAGCTCGGTTGTTTTATATACACGTGAGCCTGGTTCATGGAGGAGATGGGTAGATGTTCCCTAAGAATTTATAACAGTTTCGTATCCGTGCAAGCGTACGGATCCGTATTCACAAGCGCTTTCTGCTTTATTAAAGCAACATCGAAGTCAGTCAGTAGACCTTGCAGGGATAGCAAATCTAGGGAACTTCATCGCTTGTTTACATCTTCTGCCATTTCTGACCATAAAAGAGGATGTCAGATAAAATGCAGAAAGAAGAGGTTGAAAACTATTTTGAAACAGGACTGAAGTCTCTTGTTTCCATCTGGTACACTTAATGCCTAAATTGAGGTGAGTCTGAATATGGTTTTGTATTCATAAGAAGAAAGCTGTTTAGATCAGATCTGATCTAGATTGGAATTGCATCCCGTAAGCAAAGAAAGTACTGCTGTTTTGCACTAGCTGAGAATCTGGCACAGGATTTCATAAATGCAAGACCAATTTCCTTTTCTGTCATATGTCCTTTTCCTCCTTAAATAAGAGTGCTACTAGTAAAAAAAACCCTCTCTTTTTTCCTTCCCAAGGTTTTAAACTACTTAGTTTTTATGGAAAGCAGTGTGTGCAAGAAAGGAATTGAGTAATTCTTTTCTGTCCTTTTTTCTCCTAGCTAGTTTGATCTGTGAATTTGAAAGGGCTTTGTTTGTGTCACCACTTAGTCAGTTATATCCTCTCGCTACTGCCAGTTAGTCAAGTTTTCCTGTGCTTACTGCAGGGTTTTCGTACAGTAAGACAGGAAAGGTGAAAAAATAAGGAAATGTAATTGCAAACAGAAATTAGCAGAAGCATCTCAGATGTTTGAAATAGCTGAAACCAATATTAACTTCAAAAAAAAAAAAATTTAGGATAGCTTTTTTGTCTCTTTCTTTGGATGGAATTTTTTTGGTTTAATTTCCTATATTTGAAAATGTTTCTAAGCATCAAATTCCATGTTTTGCCTCCCATTCTTGTACAGAATAACAACTTACTATGCAAGTGTTCCCAGGATGAGTGGTTGACAAAATATTGCTTTGCATCTGTAAAGCTACTGCTGTTTAACCCTAAATAATTAAGGACTTATCTTGCAGTGATTTACTCCTGCGATTATTTACCTTTTACTGACATATGGAGTTCTGATGAACTTTGTGTCTATATTTTCCTCCCACATGCAGCTTCTTTGATTTCAGGAATATAATGATGCCTTCAGGACATCAGTAAGATAATGCCTGGGGAGAGATTCATGCACAGAATTACACTGAGTGGGCATGAGCCTCAAGGTACTTACAGGACTTTCAGATGTTGTTTTCAGAATTAACTCCATAGTTCCACAACACAGATAATACAGGAGGAGGTGTATAAGAGGAGACAGGAGTGTAAGGACAGGCTGTGGAGGGCTGGGGCAAAAGTTGGTAGCTCCCTCTGGCAGGATGCACGGGACAAACCAGCAGGTATTGGCTTCACCTTGCCTGCCTTTTGCTGTTTGTGAAGAGGAAGACACCCAGACAAAGCCCATCTCCTGACGCCAGTCACAGAGTACCTGCTATCTCACCCAGAGATGTGCCCATCTCTTCCGTCACCTCTAGAACTTCACAATTAGACAAAGGCAGGTACAAAACAGATGAGACAAATTCTGCTGTAGGCGATGCACGAGCAAAGAGCACAAGTTTTAAGCAAGACTGTTGATCTGACGGATCAATCTGATGATTAAAGCACCTAGATGTTGACCTGTACTTCGAAAGTTATGATGTACAACCTGATGCCATCTCACCCTCAAAAGCCAGGCGTCCTCAAATGGGCACGTAACATTAGCAATTATGTTTTGACATGAATTTCTGTTCTGTCTACAATGGAGCCAAGTCAGCCGTCCCCTCATAATGCTATTGTAAACAAATGCTTTGATAGTTCTTAAAGTCAAGGCTGCAGTGATGAGCGTTCTGGAAGAGACAACATTAGTGCATTAGTTTTCAGAACAGGGCTTGGGCAGTAAACTGTAAATGAGAGGTAGGACCACTTGCTAAGGGGAAAGCAAAACACAGAGTAGGTTTTCAGTAAGTGAGAACCATCCATCCTTTGCACTATAGCAAGGATGGTCCTTTGGGCAAAATACTTTGATTTTTTTGATTTTTTTTAAAACAAAACAAAACTTTCTCATCACACATATACACAAACTGGCCACAAGAAGCCTTCTCAGGCAACCTTAATTCTGGAATTTCCTGATTTTTCTCTCTGTCTTAGCAACTTCAATCACGTTCCCATACTGTGGGAGTATGTAAGTGTTATTCATATATGAAGGCAGTTTTACTGTTTATTTCTCCCTAAAAAATGGGTAGTCAGATCATTATTTTTTCCTGTCACAGAAGCTTTTCCTTACAATGCATTTTTAGAATTTGCTTCCAAGCTACTACTTTCCTGTTTAGAAAACGTTGTTTTTTTCCCTTTTCTGCTTTTAACAAATATTTGCTTTTTCCTCCCGCTCTTCTTTCTGCATTGCTGCTGCACACTGTTTGTTACTGCCCAGCTCTTCAATAGCACTGAACTAATGGTATCATTTTATTTGCAAAAGAAAAGCAGTGAAGCATTTGTTTTGAAAAGAAAGGCTTAGGCAAAAACTCCCAAAAGCACAGTCTTAGCAAACTACGTACAGTGTGCAAGATAAAAGGCATGTATAATTAAAAAGGTAAATGCCCCGTTCATGGAAAGGTGGTTTTGTAACTCCTTTTATTTCTTGGTTTGCATGTCTTTTTCTCATGTCGTCTTCTCCGTAAGGACTTCCTTCTTGGCGGCTCCTGTGTGGTGGTGAGCCATTTGAGATGTTCTGCATGCCTGCAGACAAAAGAAAAAGCCATATCTGTGTGTGTGACTGTGCTCAGAGGCAGAAGGAACCTGGTTCCTGATTCTGACGATGTGCCTGACTCAATGTGTGCTTGGGAGAGTCATTCCACCTGTGAGTGTCTCAGCCCAGCTGAGAAATGAGATGAACAACCTTGGTGCTGAAAAGCACAATGCTGTGCATGAAGTCCTGCCTGTCAAAAGCCAGTGAGAATTATTGAAACAGCATCAAGGATGAA